GTAAATACACAAGCCCCAAACCCACCCCTAAAGGCCTGTTTTTTAATGCATTGTCCTTTAATGTCCCCCATGTCCAGTCTTGCTTTTAGTCTGCCTCACAGAGGTCTAATCAACAACAGGATTTAGGGAAACTGATGCTTCTCTGAAATACCAAGGACGATGCAGATTTCTCTGCATGTTGCAGAGAAGAACTTAATAATAACTATCTATTTTTACTTGAATGTTACTGTCTTGATTCATATTAGATTCCTGAACTTTTTACCTATTAGAACTTTATAACATTCACAAAAATACAGACCTAGTGATAAAAAATCAGACATATGCCATGTTGTTCTTATGAAAATGGTTTAGATTTTATGGACTCAGTAAGATTTCTTGGCCAAATGAATTAGAAACGATAATAAACCTTGTGTGGTCTCTGAAACAACATGAACAAAGTAGTTCAGATTGCTTTAACACACCAGCATCTCAGTTTTTAGACAACAGTGCTTACCACTGGTAGAACACAAATTGCCATGCAACTGACAGGAAAGCAGTTAATCAAAGTATCTTCAAGTGTTGACAATAGCATTAAAATAAACCCTTAAAATCTCACACACCCAATCACTAAAACATGGGAGTAATTCAAATATTCACCAACCTTAAATGAATGCAAAATGAATAAAATATAACAATACAGAGATAAAACTCTGATACATGCTACTATGAGAATGAGCCTCAGAAACATTAGGCTATAACCTGAAAGAAGATAGTCCTAAAAAGCTGCATATTTCTGCTTAGGAAATATTAAGAGTAGGTAAAAACTCATTGTGGTAGAAAGTAGGTTTGTAGCTGCTTAGCATAGTAGGATTATTGAGCATAGCAGGGTGAAATGGTCCATAAGAGGTTCTCTTGGGGGTGATGAAAAATATTCTTAAGTTCTTTTAGGTTGTGTGCTTCAAAAGGATAAATGTTATGCTATGGGAATTCTGTGTTGCTAAAGCGGTTGAAAAGAATGTGATGCAGTGTTGGTGAAGATATGATAATGGCATTTTAAATGGCATTTGGGGGAATGTAAACCAGTGCAGTCATTTGAAGCCCAGCATGGATAATCTTCAGAAAACTAAAATTAGAACTGCCATATAACCCACTCATGGGTTGCAACCTGAAGTATTCTAAGGCAGCATAAAATGGAGACACCTACATGGACCTTCATCCCAGCACTCTTCACAGCAGACCCATCCTAAAGACAGCACAGGAGCCCATGGATATATGCACAGAAGCAGAAACATGGTGTATATAAATAAGGTTCTATTCTTCGGCCATCAAGCAAGAATGGAACCAATGTAATTATTTCAGAATATGGGTGGAATTGAAGATTATCATACTAAACAAAATTAGTTACTATCAGGATGAGAAAGATGGTTCGGTCAGTAAAATGCCTACATTAAGGATCTTAGGTTGTAATCCCAGCACCCATATAAAGGGCAAGGTACAACAATACACACCTGCAAACCTAAAGCTACAGAAGCAGAGCTGGAAGATGGCTCAATGGCCTGTCAATGAAATTGAATCAGTAAATTGCAGGTTCAGTGAGTACCTTGGCCTCAAAAAAAAAAAAAAGAAAGAAAGAAAGAAATTTAAAAATACAAACAGCAATAGAAAATACCAAATATCAACGTTACATACACGTGAAGACACACACACACTGACCAGTCTTAGAAACATATTTTCTTTCATATATAAAATTTAAGTAATAGAAGCAAAATGAACAAAAAAATGTATCATTAAAATAGGACTGAATCTATAGAAATTGGTAGGATACCAGTAATCAGAAGGAAAGCAAGTGATATGCATAAATCATAGGATGAGAATTTTCAACAAAATAGCTTGTATATGTGCATGTGGATGTAAAGACCATAATGAAGCTCACTTATAGTGAGAAGAGTGCCGCTTGTTGGTTCCTGGCTGCTTGGCTATCTTAGACCTGAAATAATCACAATAATAAAAGCAACATAGAGACAGAAGAACCTCCCACACCACTCACTCCTTTTTTACAGTTCATATTTGCTAATAAAAAGAGTCATACTTTTTGAATAGTAATTTTATTCTTTGTGGCATCCTCAAGATAGATTGTAAGCTACATTTCCACATGGCTTTGGATACCTGTTTGCTTTAATGTAAACAGGTATTTAGAGTAACAACATATTTTTCAGGAAACAGAATTTTCTGATTCACTATAGTTATAAAATTTTAAGTGATAACAACAGAGGTTCATTAACTATTAGCAATTATTAAAGCAATCCAGGAGGTGGTTGTGTATTTTTAACTGAGTCTCATGTAAACTCTGGGTTGAATCACTCCACTTGTACAAAGAAGGGAGGAAGGTCTTCTTTAATTCCTCATGGTTCATGAACTCCTCCTGCTGCTTAACACTTCTGGCTGACAATACTATGATCTGGAGGAATTTTTCTTTCTGAGAAAGAATTACCTTTTAAGTGTAGCATAATCCTTTCCAGAAAAATAGAGTTAATGTTTTCATTTCTCAACTTTTGAGATTGCTAATAGAAGAGAGGTTGGTAGAACACATGATAGAAGAGGCCAATTCCATCTAACAGTAGACAGTCTATGAAGATGGATTGGGAACATTGAGGGCTAATAACACCAAGCATTTTCTTTGCTGGGTTATCTCTTGTACATTAATTAATTATACAGAAGAACCTACTTTAATGGACACACTTGCTCTGAGGAAGTTTCTTTTAAGATAAACTTCCTTTCTCCACTCTGCACTTGACTTTGGAGATATAATCTAAGACATATCGAGACATAAAATGATATGATAAGGCCAAATTTGTACCATTGGTATGTAAGCTTATTCTTCTGAATAACCAAAGGGACAGCATTGAGGAGGAGGCTGCCGAACTGGGAGAAATGTAGTGAGTCTCATCACCCTTGTATCTAAGCTATTGTGTGATTTATATCAAATATTCATGACAAACAGCTTGTACAGAAAAATTTAAATGTCCTTATATGTGGTTGTATTATATACCCTTTATATATATATGAATCCACATATATATATATCCACTTTTAATATCACTCATAAAACAATTTGGCCTGGTGTATGAAAATGACTTGAATCTTTTATGCTAGCTCTGTAACTCTTTGCTGACAAGAGTTTCCAAACAATTAGTATGTTAATATGCATTATTTTTACCTGTCTTTGCATCTGACATCGAGACAGCTATCTGCATTTGCCTTTGCTGTACTTGCATTTTGCACACAATACTGTTAGACTGCTTTCTTTACTCTTTTATACATTGTGCATTGTTTTTAACTCTAGGTGAGTGGATAAGATGCTATGTGTTCATTGTTAGGTAACATTACCCTGCCTAGCTTATTAGTCACATTGTGGTATTTAGCGTAATTCTTCTAGCCATGAGCCAAAATACCTTCTTTCCAGTCAATTGCTAGTACTTTAAATATTTGTCCAATATACTTGAAAAAATCTAGTTATTTTTGTTTACTTGTGTTTTTCTATTTTGTCTGCAGCTTTCCTAAACCCATTTCTTGTTTAATATATCTTTGTTTTTCTGAATGCCTAGCCTGATTGCCATTGTCCCCAGTATTTCTAGTTACCACATGAGTTTCTCCCAATCGCAGGTTTGGCTTCTCTTCTGCCTGCCTGTGCAGCCCCAGCAAAGCTTATAGCTATGGAAGGCCCATTGTGTATTCTCTGCAGCCGTTTCTCTCATACCATTTTACTTCAGTTTGTTCTTGTTTAAAAAGAAGAAAAGTCTTTGACATCATTTTCTCTAGAGATCGACTTGACTGGCTGCCCTCTATCCGTGTTTAGTTCTTCATCACCCCTAGTTAACTTTTATTCCTCTTTTAAATGTCAGACAAGGGTCTTGCATTGTGTTAGGAAGACAAGCAACTGTCAGTAGAATTGATGCATACCTTCAAAAGAACCTGAACAATAAATCCATGGTTTACCACCTCCCATTTCCCTCCCCCTCCCCCGTCTAGTCCCCCTCCCTTGTCAGCCCAAGGAGCAATCAGAGTTCCCTGTCCTGTGGGAAGTCCAAGGACCGCCCACCTCCATCCGGGCTAGTTAGGTGAGCATCCAAACTGCCTAGGCTCCTACAAAGCCAGTACTTGCAGCAGGATCAAAAACCCATTGTCATTGTTCTTGAGTTCTCAGTAGTCCTCATTGTCTGCTATGTTCAGTGAGTCCGGTTTTATCCCAGGCTTTTTCAGACCCGGGCCAGATGGCCTTGGTGAGTTCCCCATAGAACATCCCCATTGTCTCAGTGTGTGGGTGCACCCCTCGCGGTCCTGAGTTCCTTGCTCGTGCTCTCTCTCCTGCTGCTCCTGAACTGGGCCTTGAGATTTCAGTCCGGTGCTCCAATGTGGGTCTCTGTCTCCTTTCACTGCCTGATGAAGGTTAATGTTCAGGAGGATGCGAGGCGGTGGCGGGGAGGAGGCAGAAATCTTTAATAAATAAATAAATAAATTTAAAAAGGGGGGAGTGGGGGGCGGGGGAAGTGCTGAGATATGACTCAGTGGTAAGAGCACTGGCTGTTCTTCCAGAGGTCCTGAGTTCAATTCCCAGCAACCACATGGTGGGTCACAGCCATCTATATGAGATCTGGTATCCTCTTCTGACCTGCAGGTATACACACAGGCAGAACACTATATACATAATAAATAAATGAAATAAATAATAAATAAATAAATAAATCCATGGTTTAGCCAGGTGGTGGCGGCACACGCCTTTAATCTCAGCACTCAAGAGGCAGAGGCAGGTGAATCTCTGTGTGTTCAAGACCAGCCTGGTCAATAAAGCAGGTACCAGGAGAGGCTCCAGAGAAACCCTGTCTCAAAAAAAAAAAAAACCATATATACATATTCATATATAAATATATATACATATATATGTAGTCATGGCTTCATTTACTGCATATACACATGAACATTGTATTAATATCAGTCAACTAACAGGTATAATTCTCTCACAGAAACATGATGGTCACTTCACTGTCATCCAGTTGGTCGGCATGCTGCGGGGCATCGCATCAGGCATGAAGTATCTTTCTGATATGGGATATGTTCATCGAGACCTAGCAGCCAGGAATATATTGGTGAATAGCAACTTAGTGTGCAAAGTCTCTGATTTCGGTCTCTCCCGAGTACTGGAGGATGATCCGGAAGCGGCTTACACAACAACTGTGAGTTCCATACCCTATCCAATCACCGTGCTTATTTTCAGTTCTCTAACATGATTAGAATAATTGTTTGTGTTTCCCCGCTCTCATGTTTTCACTTTTTATTTTTTTCTAAGTAATGTGTTACTTAGTTAAAAGAATTTGTTATTTTTCAAGGCTTGGAATGTTGTTAGGGGCAGGTTGGAGGGGGAGAATAACAAAAGAGACACCTTGATTGGGGTGTATTTCGGGATTGGGGGATACCTGGTACCAGGGAGATTCCAAGGAGTCCACAAAGATGACCCCTTACTTCCCGAATTGCTATCAAAGATGCTCTATCCAATAACTGAGCTTGAGAATCTTGCAGAAGAAAGGAAAGAGGGATTGCATGAACCATAGGGGGTGGGGTAAGGATGGCGGGACTAACAGAGCTCATGGACCCAGGACCCACAGTTACGGAGCCTGCATGGGACTGACCTAGGTCCTCTGCATGTGTGTGACAATCCTGTAGTTTGGTCTCCTGGTAAGGCTTCTAACAATGAAAGCAAGACCTCTCCCTGGCACTTAACTGGCGTTTCATAACCTGTTCCCCATGCAGGATTGCCTGATGCCAACTTGATGTAGAGGGAGAAGCTAGGTCCTGACTCGATCTGATGTGCCATGCTTTGTGCAAGCCCATGGGAGGCCTTTCTCTTTCTGAATGGAGATGGGGAGAAGCCTATGGGGAGAGGGGTAGATGAGAAAGAGGAGGGGACTGGAGGGAAGGAGGGAGGGAAAACTGGTTGGTATGTAGTTTAAAAAAAATTTAAAAAGAGCTCTGAAAAAAAGTATATAATGTCACATTCACCATGAATATCTTAAATATTTCTGAATGCTCCAAGCCAATCCACTGGATTCATCTCCTTGGATACTGTTTGGAAGAATTTAATCTTACCATCTTTATTGAAGTATGTTAAAGCTGTTGATTTTTAATTGTGACTGTCATCACTTGTTTATTAAAATTCTCACCAATGATTCACTTGAGATTTAAATCAGCTTCAGTGAAAAAGCAAGTCTATGAAGCTATTCAAAACATATTTACTCTTTCTCCCTTCTTAACATTTCAAATAATTTTTGAATGGCAACCTATTAATTCTCTTTTATTTCATTTTCTATTCAATATTGCAAAATTTCGAATTTGAGATAGATGGGAGTTTGATATCTTAATAAAAAATTGTGCCCTTATAATTTTTAGAATGTTTTATGATGATTTGTCAGCATTTTCTCAGTTTTAATATGAAATAGAGTTCTATAGAAAATAGATTAATCTCCAAGTCTGATATATAAAGTACAGGCATTCATTGATCTTTTAGTTTAACCAAAAACTTTTTAAAAATAAAAATTCATAGAATTTGGAAATCCATTAGTCATTTTAGAAAAAAAAAGTGTATTTTAAACTCCATTTTCTATTTAGAAAATACTGTAGCTATTTTGTTTTTCTAACTTTTATTTTCTTTCTTCATTATTGTTATTTATTTACTTTTTGTTTTAAACTTTTCCTTGCCTCTCCTCCTTTTAATCCCAGTCCTATCTCCCCTCTCTTCCCCCAATGCCACCATCCATGTCTCCTCCACCGTTTCTCTTCAAATACCGACTGGTCTTCCATGGAGATCAGCAGGGTATATCAAGCTGCAGTAAGACTGCAGCTTTTATTAATGCTGGATGAGGCAATGCAATAGGAGGAATAGGTCCCAAAAGCAGGCATCAGAGTCAGAGACTCTCAGTAGTCTCACAAGAAGAGCACATCACACAAGTGTAACATAAATGCAGAGAGGTCAATCCCATGCAGGTTCCCTGGTTGTCATTACAGTCACTGAAACCCTTTATGAGCCCAGGTTAGTTGGTTCTGTAGGTTTTCTTGTGGTGTCCTTGACCCTTTAGCTTCCTACAATCCTTCTCCCTCTTCCATAAGATTCTCCAAGCCCAGCCTAATGTTGGGCTGTGGGTCTCTGTATCTATTCCAATCAGTTGTACTTGCCTCTCTGACAGCAGTTGGGCTAGGCATCCATCTCTGAGCATAGCAAAATATCCTTAGGAATCATTTCAACGTTTTTTTTTTCTTTACAGTCATGTTTGGTTCTATCTAAGTTCTCTAGGGGATCCCACCACTGGTTCCTGGTCCTTGGGGTGAGCTCCCCGGGGTATGTGTCTCCAGAAGGGCTCATTATCAGTTGGTCACTCCTATATTTTCTGTGCTATGTTTACCCGGCACATCTTGTAGGCAGGATAAATTGTAGGTCAAAGAGTTTGTGGTTGGTCTGCTGTCCCAGTCTCTCCTCTGGAACTCTTGCCTGGTTACAGTAAATGGACAGTTCAGTGTCTGTATCCCTTTTAGAAATATTTTCTAACGTGAGCCCTCTGTTGATGCAAAAATCCCAATCAAGCCAAATCACAAAAAGCAAAATTAAGGATATCCAGGTTTAATAGGACTCCTCTTGCGCTCTCAGGTGGCCCCAGGGAGCAGTTTAAATAGACTGGGGGAATGGTCCTGACCTCCACTGGGAGGGGTCAAGGTTTGACAGATGCCTTGCCCCTCCTTGGGATGGAAGGGTCAAGGCTGGCAGGCACAGGGGCAGGGCCTCCAAAGATGGAGGCCAGAGACTGGGATTTACAATCCTGTATTGCTAGGAGTCTTAGCTAGGGTTACCCTCATAGGTTCCTGGAAGTTCCCATTGCTTTAGGTTTCTAGCTCATCCCAGAGATGTCCCCAGATTTTGGTTGTCTCACCCAATACTCTCTGTCCATCCTTTCCCTGACAAGAGCCCTCCTGTCCCTATCCCCATTGCCCCTTCCAGCCTCTCTCCATGTCCACTGGCAAAGTCTATTCTATTTCCCCTTCACAATAAGATTCATGAGCCCCACCCCTTTGAGCCCTTTTTATTACTGAGCTTCTCTGGGTCAGTGAGAAGATGGAAGGAAGGAAGGAAGGAAGGAAGGAAGGAAGGAAGGAAGGAAGGAAGGGAGACTAAGGGAAAGAAAAAATGAAGTATAATATTGTTAATTTGATTACTTCCCTTTATAATGGGCATGAAATTCAATACTAAAATAATGAGGTCAATTCTTTTAAAGTCAGTCTTGTACTTCCCATTAATTTGATACATTTAGTGTTGTTATGGGAGTCTAAACAGGAAACACGGTGATAACAAAGATTAGTAGCCTAAACAAGGCTTTATAAACTGGCAAAGACAGTATCATGACATAAAAATATATAGACAGACTGTCTTATGGTTTCTCTTGCTATGAAGAGACACCATGATGGTGGCAACTCTTACATAGGAAAAACATTTAATTGAGAGGCCTCACACTTTCAGAGGTTTCTTCCATTACTATCATGGCATGGTGGCATGCAGGCAGACATGGTGTTTGAAAGGGAGCTGAGAGTCCTACATCTTGACCTGAAGGCAACAGGAAGTGGTCTGTCTTCCACACTAGGCATTAAATGAAAAGCCACCCCCACAATGATGCACTTCCTCCAATAAGGCCACACTTGCTAATAGTGCCACTCCCCTTGGGGAATGTCTTTCAAATCACTACACACACTTTTGGATGAAAAACATTTCCCATAAGGACAGAAAATGGGAAAACAAAAAAGTATTTAAAGGTAAATGTGTGGACAGACAGGTGGGCAGAAGTATGGACAGTTTAAAATGGAGCCCAGGAGAAGTAATGGGGGGGTCACATTCTTCAACAATAATTAAGGTTCTTGAATGGAACTCCAAGGAATTTGAAGATTTTTCTATAGCAACTAAGAAAAAGCCACTGATTTTTACAAATACAAGAACAAAAAAGCAGATTCATGCTGTAGATGTTGCTGACAAGAACAAAGAAAGAAATGAAGAGTTAAAGGATAAGAAATTAGTAGTAGAATTTCATGTAGGCAGTATTGCTACAGACTCAAAAGCGCATATAGGTTTAATTAAAGTAATGGCAGCTAGAATAAAAAGGGAAAGAAAGGATTGAAATAATTATGACCATATAATTTTCAAGATTCAATAATTAATTGGGCATGGATGATATAGAAAAGAAGGAATTATTAGAAGTAGATTTAGCAGCTAGTCATTGAGAGGCATTATTAATCATACATAGACCCCTATTCAAGATGCCCTAAATGCCAGCATTCCACCACTATAAATTAGACTTTGTTTCCTTTTTCTGTCAATATAGGTACTATTGCCTCACTATTTGTAAATGTTTTTATAATGTACATAAGAAGGGGATTGAAACAAACAGATCTATAAAATATTTAAAAATAGGGAGGCACCGTGGTCAAAAACCTGTGTACAGTTTTGACTTAATTTCCAGACAGAAGTTCTTTCTAACTGTACACTACACCAATTCTAGTTCTTCCTAATCAAATGGAGACCAAATAAATGTTTCTAAAATAAATACATTAAAAAAGTAAAAAACAGATTACAACAAAAAGCAATGAGAATTTACTAAATGCAGCATAGACACGGAGAATCCAGTGCTGACCATGGCACTGAACTAGTCCACAGGCATCCAGAAAACAGAATGTCTATGCGATCCAGAATGGCCACACCAGAAAGAGAAGTGAGCAAAGACGTTACCTTACGATAAATGAACAAATTCCTTAGAGTCCTATTTAAAATCAGTATGCCTACAATATATATCAATATTTCTGCATTATAAAATTAAATAATGTAGGCTAAAGGATTAGTTTTATAATTAAATGTAACTAGACATTCTCATGTTTGTCCCTATGCTTATGTGTTTATTGGTCCTGATTCAGATCTAAGGTGTATTCATTTAATCTGCACTCAACACCATTTATTGTGGAACTACCATATTAGGGTCTCTAGAATGAACCGACTGTGGAGTGAGTTCAGATTACACCTTTCTCTGTAGAAAATAACAAAGCTTGTAATACTATGCCCAGTCTCCAAAAATAAAAGTACACATATTACTTATACCCTTTGAATCCTGAACTAGTGTATAATCTAATTTATATAATATATATAAGTGTA